AATTATTGTATACTATGGATATACAATACATTTTAACCAAAGTATTAAATAAAAAACATATGGTACCTAACGATGATGCACAGATGATGTGAATATAAGATGTGTTAGTTTTTCAACTATTCGTCGTGTTAGCCGTCCGTATACTTTTAAATAATATTTTCTATTATTTTATAATATTTCTTGTTTCCCCGGCTATTCTATGTTTGGTTAGGTCAACGTCGGTAGACAAACCTAACCTAACCCACTCTGATACATCTGTCATTTCACCTGTTTGTGATCTACGTAACATAATGATTGATTCCTTGCAATCAATTATGTACATTAGCAATTACGATTCACAACAGTCGTGTACTATATTATAGAAAATCAAGTTTGTATAAAGTCATTTTTATTCATCAACAATACGATCGTCCTTTCCTTTCATTTTAAATGTCTATTGAATTGTGGTAGTGTTTCTTCAGTATACCTTCATTTTCTAATAGGTATAAGTTGAGTATGAGTTATTGTTAATAAATAGATACATTATAACACTTTTTTTCAAATAAAATTATTTTATTCATTTAACAGCAGGTACTGAATAGCCTGTTCGTGTAATATTATACAATTTTTTTTCTAGTAAAGCGAATTTCTTTTATTACATTACATAGATAATACACAATTTCAATCACGAATAAAATCATTCTAACGAAAGTACCTAATTATATCGATTCCAGTGTTGGGAAAATTATTTTTTTTTTTCGGTAATTAAATTACTTTACTAATTCATCATCAAAATTGTAACTAGATCATTTTTAAGTTACTTTATTTGTGTAAAGTCAAGTCACATTACTTTTGAGTTCTTCGAAAAAAACGATGGAGCTTAATAACCATGTTACCAACAAAACAATAATGTATTCATAAACTGAATAATGACAATCAACAATATGATATTAATGATATATACTCGATCATTTCGCCTCTTTATTTTCCAAATTTATATTAAAACAATATAGATAAGAATTCCATTGTAAAAATAACACATTATCTTCAAATAGTCAAAAGCTATAATAAAAATATTACAGTTCAGAAAATTTTTCTTATAAATTATAATACTTGAATGATATATTTTAATATTACACACATTATCAATAAGTTTTAAAAATTATTAAACAAAAATAAAGTAAAGAATAATTTAGTAATTTTCACTATAAAAAAGTAGCTTAAATTGCATATAAATTATACCTACGATAAAATGCAATTAAATTACCATAAAATTAATTAAAAAGCAATTTCGTTACAGTAACTTGTAAAGTCAAGTTATTATCTTCCACACTGATCGATTGTTTTTAACACTGCAGCATTAATATTGCGATATTCTCTATAAATTGTATTGTTTATTTTCGCTAATATATTTGATACCTGTCTAATAACGTTTAGGTACAAACATTTTTTAATGAAAATTGTTGACGATAGATTGATCGACATTGGTAATTTGACACTTCGAATACCTACCGATATAGAAACCCTGAGCCGACCATCATCTTTCTTAGATTTCACAACGAATTATGTCTGAATTTATTGCAATTGAAATCTGGTTAGTTGGAAATCAAGAATCAGTGAAGCCGTCGAGTACCGTAAGTATACCAGACACCAGTTGCATATATAATAAGTCATAATATATATTGACACTTACAAGTTATCAAGTGCAAGTCCAGTTAAGACGTCCACCGATAAAACTTATCGAAAAATGTAATATAGAATTAAAATCTACAAACTCCCTCTATTGTTAAACATAATATTGTGTCCCCATATAGTTTTAAGACCAATACTCTATTACTACTATTTTGTAATTATTACAGGCTAATGACCTCAGGAGTTGAAGCCTTATTTAAATAATAATGAAAAAAATTAAATTAAAATCCCAAAAAGCGCATTTTTATGGTATTATATACTTTGAGACAATTGATTCATTTTTTTTTTCACTGCGATCATCGCGTACATCAAAACTCGACGTATTATAATTTATAACCTGTAAACATCGTTGTGCTATATTGCCATCTCTCCATATTTGTCGATCGAAATAACAGTATAAAGCAATTCGATGTGCGCACGCATTTCGACGGATCGTCTACGGTTGAGGCCTTTTTAATACATTTTAGGTATCGTATATATATATATATAGGTACGATGTATTGTTGCTATATCGTTTATCTCACAGACATAATATTATTTTACGTTCGGATTTGGTGTGGCGCAATCGTACGGCAAGAAAAATATAATGGTAGGCCGTAGCTGCGGGTATATACACGCCCGGTCGACAACATTTATTTTCTCGTCCAAGTTCGGTAGCTTTAGGCCGTTCAAGGTCGCCGGCGCGAAGGTACCTGCCCAAATCCAAAATATAATGAAAACATTACTACACTCCGTCGCCCGGCTGCTGCAAAACACACACACGGTTTGTGACTGGCAGGTATATACATATTATATATATACGTACCTATATATGATATTGTGCGCACGCAAATTGACGCCGGTGGGCGTGACAGGTGTAGGTAGACGATCCGGCATGTTAAAATAATTATATTGCAATAAAAAAATAAAATATTATTATACGAATGTGTGCGCGCTGCATATATAGCGAGGGAGACGATCAACGTCGTCAGCTGTATCTACACATAGTTCTATGTAATGCGATTCTAAAACGAGCGCTCGTCGCACGATATAGGCACACTGTAGAACAAACGCCTCCGCATTGTTTTTTATACGTATTATACGTATATTATATGTATATGTGACGACCGTGACAAGGGCACATATTATAAGATATTGTACAGAAATCAAAATACGCCGTA